TTCCCTTTTGCTAAACTCCATTGGACCCAAGCTTGGGTAATAGAATTCTATAAAAATGAATGCACAACCAGGACATGATCATCATGATAAACGTCCATGTGGCTATAAAGTGAACATTTGTGCTGTGTTTCATTAAGATGCATTGCAAAAGTAGATCCATCTGAAGGCACTCCATATCAGTCAATAACACTGTGATATTTTTGTAAAAAAAATCAATGCATAAATCATTTTGTATAGTGCTTTTGGTTCCTGATTAGAGATGGGCATGAAATGAATCATGAAGCAAAACAACAACAACAACAACAACAACAACAACAACAACAACAACAACAACAACAACAACAACAACAACAACAACAACAACAAAATCACCCACATGAATCGGGACATTTTGTGGTTTGTTTTGGGGCACTTCAGGGCAACGTGCCTGTCCAGAGTGAAATAAAATGCTGAACTATTATTGGTATGGGTGATTCGTATGCTTCATTTTTAGCTGTGTTGTCCCTGGTCAGACAGCCTGGTGCTACTCATTCAATTCCACAAGCAATGCTGGGGTAGACCGAGAGAAAACTTTGTGTCTGATTGATTGTCAGGTGAGGCTCCAGGTCTGCTCTCTGGGAATAGTTGGTTGTGGGAGCCTGTGACAGCCTCCTCTCACGTCACAAAGGAGGTGTCACGTCACTCTTACATACACACTTTACACGCTGCCACCAACCACATACATATCTGACTCCTCCGACAATTGTATGGATTTTAAAAATAAAATGATTGTTTATTGATACAACATAAGTAATAGTAAATCACTGTAGTAACTAAACAAGGCAATCAATATAATAAAGTATCCCCTCATACACTCTCTCACGCAGACCTTCACTAACACAGTACCTCATAACCTGCACATGCCCTAAGTCCCTAACAAGACCCTAACCAAGTCCCTATCTGACTCACACATCATTCACTCCCCCTTATATACCTTAGCTCCTCCCTCTGAAGTCCCACCTCCTGTCCTGCTATAGGCTCCAGCCATAGCAATGACAGGCAGGTGGCATCATCGCAGCCATCACAGAGCCACACCCTGGGCAGCTCAGTTGGTGGTGTCACTTTTGCAGCAGCTGGCGTGAGTGCTTAGCTAGTGCTTCCGGTGAATCATCGCCTCTGTTCTCTTCCTGTATCTGACCGATTTCTGTTCCCTCCCCAGTGCATCTCAAGTTCCTTTGCCTGAACCACACATTTCATTTCCCCCAAGCAAGCTGCTAAAGAGCACTTTCATTGGGGACTAGCCTTGTGGGGGGGTATAACTGGAACGCCTTAAATCACCAAACTTTCTGGGATGGGGAGGAGAGTCAACTGAAGACCCATTGTGCATTTGGCATCTCTAACTTGTGTGGGGGTCATTCTTCCACTCCGGGAAGCCCCAAATTGCATGAACCACAAAACGGTTCATTTCACTGGAAATTTCACAAAATTTTGTGATTTGTAAATAGCCATGAACCATGAATCACCATTTCCCCCATTTGTGCCCGTCTCCATCCTTGATATAGATTGGCAATTTTGTGGCACTGGTAGAAGTATGAGCAGAGGAAAACCTACCATGCTGGTCTGTTTGAGAGCAGCCCAGATTCATGTGTTTCTTTTGTGATAATAGTTTTCCATTGAAAACGAGGTCCTTTTATTTTTCCCAGTGGGTGAAAGGTGTAACCAGAGATTACCTGAGGCTATCTGTAGGTACAATTAACTTAAAGATTTATGTGATAAACAGAGAATAAAATTCATGAAATGAAGGCACAATGCAAAAGAGATCAAGGGAAAATCAAAGAATTTCTAACACAATACAATGCAATGATGAAATGAAAAGTGTAAGGCAGAACAACCTGTATTAATGTTTCAGATGAAATTACAGTTATGCAAAATTAGCCACTATTAGCCCTTCATGAAACACTATACTTGCCCTTAACCTTCCACCAGCCCCTCTACTTGAAGCTCACTATATTCCAGCTCTTTGGTCTATAGATGCAGAAAGAAAGACATATAGAAACCTATTCCAAGGAACAAGTTCAAGAGCAGTCAAAATCTGCAAAAGTAAAACTTAAATGAGAAAAAAAATGAACTGAGAAGCACCTACATGTGAGTGTGAATGTGAAGTCTGAATCTCCTTGTCCCAATCGACAGTTGCATTTTGCTTCACTGATGCCCCTAATTTTCCTGCATTCTGGATGGTTTCCTTACTTTCACCCCTAAAATTCAGATCTGTGTTGGTAGATGGCAAACTGGGACAAAAAGTGCACTACCTTTCTTTATTCTGAGACAGTAAACCATCCCTTTATCCTGAAACACACATTTTGACTGTATAATCCTATCAGGTTACACTCTGAGCCTGCAGACATTGAAAGTATCCATCCTTGTAGTCTGTCCACACTGTCCCATTGTCATCCAGCTCAGCCAGAGCCTTGTTGCCACAGCAATCATTTTATATGTCTTTTTTTTTTTTTAATTAATTCCATAATGTAAAAATCCAGGCTGGAAGGAAAGTTCAGGAAAGAGTCAACTGTGCTGTATACAAAAGTCACCAAAGGTTTCCTCAATGCCATTCCATAGTCAGGCCCTTTCACCAGTTACTAATCCAATCTATAGGCCATTGTATTTGTTGACCAGTTCAGTCCATATGTCTGCAGATCTTCTGGCCTGTGTATCATTGTACCCTAAAAACTGGAGCTAATTAAAATCCATGGCTAGGCAAGGTTTTCCATTTTTCTTGCGCTTGTTTTTTTTTTAAGTGAGAAGATAATATTATCCACACTACGATGGAATAGTTTCCTGTGCCAATTCCTTAACAAGTTCTTTTGGCTCATAAGCACTTGTTCTTTGATAGACATGAAACAGCTACCTCATCGGATTTTGGGCATCTGCCCTAGAAATGTGGAATGGCTGCAAGGCACTCAAGTAGCATGATTAATTGAGCTTTGTTTTAAATGACTCCTATAGGGGTTGACTAAAGCAGGTGGCTTAATAGAAGAGGGTGTATAAGAAAGAGTCCTTTCATACATCATAAAAATAGCTCCTAGTCATTTTTTAAATGATAGAAAAGCAGCGGATTGCACCAAGGCTGTAGCCAATCATTAACACTTCATTTAAATGAATGGGAATTGACATCACCAAACACATGAGAAATCTCTGGAGGACTGGAGGAA